CCTCCTCCTCATCCTCCTCCTCCTCCTCCTCCTCCCTCCCTGGCAAACCATGTGCTAAGAACCTTCTCTGTGGTTCCCACGAGAGGTTCTCAGAGCATGTCTGGCGGAGCCTGTCTTGTTGTATCGCACCGGGCTTCTGCTCTAAGAGCATTGCTTTTGTGATTCGAACATTTTTGGGTTGTAAAGACATTTCGTGGTAGGACTATAGGAATGCCGGGACGGTCGGTCCCTGCTCAAGTTCCTCCCCCCGGAGCTGGTCCCCCCCTAGCCCTGAGATCCAGAGTCCAGGCCTCCTAGATGGGGTCGGAGTAGATGGGGTCGGAGGATCGCGCCGCATCGCCGATGCATCGCCGATGCGGTTCGATGTGGGGCCCAATTTTCTCCACGCCGACGTTGCCGATGCATCGCCGATGTCGACGACGCATCGCCGGTGCATCGACGACGCATCGCCGATGCATTGCCGATGCATCGCCGATGTATCGGCGATGCGGCGCGATCCTCCGACCCCACCTACTCCGATCCCATCTAGGAGGCCTCTACGTAAACCATAAGCTCCAGAGCCCATCCTTCTCGAGCCCAGATCCCATCTTCGACGACGGCGAAGGAGCGGCGAACACACACAAACTGTTGACGGTCCGCGCGGATTCCTTGAGTCCGCGTTGGGCCCCCCTTTGCGGCGCCTCGGGCGTCGCCCCTGGCGCTCTCCGCGCGCCGAGGGAGGGGCTCCAGCGCAGATCCAAGAGATCCGCGCGGACCGTCGACAGTTTCTGTCGGTGCGCTTCTGTTCCTCCTCCGTGGGCCCAGACCCCATCCTATTCCTTCTCCTCCTACTCCTTCTCCTCCTCCTCATCCTCTTCCTCCTCCTCCTCATCCTCCTCCTCCTTATCCTCCTCCTCCTCTTCCTCCTCCTCCTCCTCCTCCTCCTCCTCCTCCTCCTCCTCCCTCTCCTGCATCCTTCTGCGGCATGCTTCGAGCCGGGTCGGTCCGCGATGGTCCTGGGGCCCAATATGTGCGCGAACGCGCCCGCGCGTGAGAGAAGGTGCCGCGCCCGGATCTCAGGGAGCCCTGCCCCTCATCAGGGGCGCCTCTCAGCGGCTGAAGCCCCCGCCGCCGTCACCCGAGGAGGTGCCAGGCGACGAGCCACCTTTCGGCAGCTGGAAGTCGCCGAAGTTCGACGCCGCCGGGGCCAGGGACCTCACCACCCACCAAACCACCCCGACCCAACCCGCAGGCCCCGATTCGCCCTCCATTTCCAGCGTGGGGGGGGGGGGTCGGGGAACGTGGAACAAAAATACATGTGAAGCCCGTGCCCCCCCCCAACCCGAAATTCGGGTCTTCGGGTTGGGTGGGGGTGGTCTGTCAGGAGGGGAAAAAAAACACAAACACAATTAATCGTCGATTCCCCAGGAAATATGGGAAAATATGGGAAGCGAGGGGGAAGAGAGAAACCCAGAAAATATGGGAAAATATGGGAATTTTTTTTATTTGTGTTTTTTTTTTATGTGTGTGTGTGTGTGTGTGTCCTGGGGCCCCTTCAGTCTGCCGGGTAGCCAGGACCTGCAGCTCGAGCTGCGCGTCTACCGGCCGGTCAACCCGCCTGCTCCCGGGCAGGATCGGCTGCGCGCGAGAGGGGCGCGCCGCCGGGGTGGCCTTTGCGCGAGAGGGGAGCAAGGGTACCAATGCTGTGAAGATCGACTAGAATCAGGAGGGGAAGAAACACACAGACACAATTAATCGTCGATTCCCAGGAAAATATGCGAAAATATGGGAAGTGGTGGGGAAGACAAAAACCCTGAAAATATGGGAAAATATGGGGAATATTTTTATTTGTGTGTATTTATTTGTGTGTCCCAGGGCCCCTTTATAGAAGAGTGACCTTTCGCCGGAGTGACCTTTGGTGCGGGCACAGATGGGTCCCCAGATGGCTGAAAGCGAAGCAGGAGCAGCGGCTTGCGCGCCCAGGTTTGGTCCCCCGGCGGCCCCGAAAAAGCCGCGCACCAAAGGTCACTCTTACCCAGGGTCACTCTTGCGTGCAGCCGATAGGTCGGGCCTGTCCCTCTGCAGGGGGGATATTCAAAAATGGTCAAGAAATTGTCTGGGGACTATGCTCTGAATATGTTTTGGCCAGTTTTGGCCAGTGCTGTTAAGTCGGGCCTGTCGCTCTGCAGGGGGAATATTCAAAAATGGTCAAGAAATTTTCTGGGGACTACGTTCTGAATCTGTTTTGGCCAGTTTGGAGCCTTTTTCCAATATTTTTTGTGTTTCGTCGAAAATCCCCCCTGTGGGGGGACACGCCCGACTCAACAGTACTGCTGCCCTTCCCCCGCGCTTTTGGCTTTTGGGAGCCCTTGGAGGCCGTCGCCACGGCGGGATTCGCTGCGAACTTTTGGTCAGGATGCCTTCCTGGAGAGGCCCAGGGAGAAGCTGTATCGGCACCTTTTGGCGTCCCCCCCTTCCGGGCAGGGGGCCGTTTCCGTCCCTGCAGGACCATCCAACACAG